GTAGGTAGGTAGGTAGGTAGGTAGGTGGGTAGGTAGGTAGGTAGGTAGGTAGGTAGGTAGGTAGGGTAGGTCGGTAGGTCGGTAGGTCGGTAGGTCGGTAGGTCGGTAGGTCGGTAGGTGGGTAGGTCGGTAGGTGCGTAGGTCGGTAGGTGCGTAGGTCGGTACGTCGGTAGGTCGGTAGGCCGGTAGGTCGGTAGGTCGGCAGGTCGGTAGGTCGGCAGGTCGGTAGGTCGGCAGGTCGGTAGGTCGGTAGGTCGGTAGGTCGGTAGGTCGGTAGGTCGGTAGGTGGGTAGGTCGGTAGGTCGGTGTAGGTCGGTCGGTCGGTCGGTCGGTAGGTCGGTCGGTAGGTAGGTCGGTAGGTAGGTCCGTAGGTAGGTAGGTAGCCAGGTAGGTAGGTAGGTAGGTAGGTAGGTAGGTAGGTAGGTAGGTAGGTAGGTAGGTAGGTAGGTATGTATATGTTTGAAGGAATATGTATACATTATATTACATTACAATACAGTACGTTACGTTGCATTACCTTACACATACATACATACATACATACATACATACATACATACATACATACGTACTTACATACGTACGTACAAGGGTACATACATACATACATACATACGTACGTACATACATACTTACAAACATACACGCATGTATGTATGTATGTATGTATGTATGTATGTATGTATGTATGTATGTATGTTCGTACGTACATAATGAAGCATGTACAAAGAAACACACATTGAGATCAACACAAGCCTTCTGCAACTACTCCGGGATTCGAGGTCCGACGATGTCCGTCCAGTTGAGGATGGGAAGTTTTGCATGCCCATTAAACGGTAGCACCTTCAAAGCAATTTTTTTGCACTGTTTGCAGCATCTCTGTCCAAAATCTCCGGCCTTGTGCAAGGTACATGATCGATCGAATCACCATGCCGAGTTGGCAGACCTGGTCCAAAGTGTCTTTGATTGCCATGAAATGTTTGAAGAGCACCCCATCGGGTTTGGAATAGGCTTTTCGTGGTGGAGGGGAGACGGCGTAAATTGTGGTGATTATTCGCTACTTGGCCGCTCCTTCTGTTCCAGTCTCCACTCGATGCCACGCCAATGGCTTTGCAGCATGGAGGGAGCATGGCAAAGGTCCCTCCCTCTCCTGCCTGCCCCTGCCCCTATGCCCCTCAGTTGCATGCTTTTCCTTCCCTATTCCATGGCCAATACACACCCTGCTCTCACCCCTGTATCACTCTATCCCCTGCCTGTGCTCCCCACAATGCTTCAGACTTGCCCGACGCAACGTCGCAAGGTGGATTTTGCATGCTTGGGCCTGCGTCCTCATCTCATGCTGAAGCTGGTCAAGAAGCCACCTCCTTCGGGCGAGGGCCCACACGGCTTCTCCGACCTCTTCTCAACCGTGGTCGTGGAGAATACGGAGGCGCACTTGATCAGCACTGTTGCGTTGCCCCAAAATCCGAAATCGCGTGGCCTCTGATCCCAAACAACCAAACCTGACCAGAGCCGGTTTGGAGCCGCTTGCAGGCCTTCCCATGGCTCGCATCATCGAAGCCACGCAGGGCAGATGTTTCCAAGCAGCAGGGGGAGCTTTTGAGAGCGTTACGGGGCACGGCATGCCATCGGGTTTGTTCTTCGCGCCGGTTAGTGTCGTCCACTGTCGAGTTAAAGCATTGCCGTACTTTGAAAGACCGGAGTAGCAAGAGAACGGATCATGGATGTCACGCTGTTATTTTGCGGTCTTGTGATGCATATGCAGAGCTCCGCAGCCTCCATCCCACATTCATGGGCTGTAGTCAAGCCGATTGCTCTCTTGATATCCCGCGCATAACAGGTTAGATTTCTGTAAGGCGAACCGCAGTAGACTCCAGTTCAGAGAACTGCAAGTTTCGAAACCGAAGTTGAAAGAATCACGCAGGATGGGGAGGAGGGATTTACAGCTGACGCAGCGGCGGAGGCCGACCTTCAGTAATCGCTGGGTTACTATGGTCATTACCATTACGAGCTTTCATGATGTCGTTGCTCACCTGGCCTGTTCGTCATGATGCGGCACTTGCTGCTATCAGTTTCGCTTCAGTTCTTGTCATGGTCGGTGTCGTCACCGATGCCTGCATGATCACCATCAGCATTAATTGTGTCATCACCAGCATGACGAAAAGCATGATCTTACGAGTAATGCTCATCATTTACCAGAAAGAATCATGAGTCACGTCTTCACCACCTTCCTCCTCCTTCCTCCTCCTCCTCCTCCCCTCTCTCTCTGCTACGCCACATCCATCGCCACGTCTTCAGTGTCACCATGGCCACCAGCTCCACACCACCAATATGGTCACCATCGGGAACAAGCAGGCCCCACATGGCCCCACCATCGTTGCCAGAATCAACTTTGCCACGATTGCTGTCATTCTCATTCCCAGCCGCCCTCCTCATCATGATATTTGGTTTCTTCATGCTTTTCTACATCAGAACCACCATGCTAATCATGGTTATCACTGGCCATCGCCATCCTTATCATAATCGTTGGTACGTATCTACTTCCTCAACAACTTCAAGAGCGACATGTTCTTCGTCAACAGTAGCATCAGCATCAGCATCACACCATCGATAATGTTCCCTGTTCCGTGTTGCTACATTCGGCGGTCGCTGCTTTGTGCATGCTGACTTGGCGACATTTTCATGAACTGTCGAGTACCCAAGTTATTGAAGGTTGCTGTAGCATGATCTGGACTTTGTAAGTCGTGTGTATGTAATAGGTCGAAGCCTGCAAAGCGTGGACATGCGCCAACCGCGCCTCCCGACCTGCAGAATCTCGTTCTGCCCTGTGTAGAGGATGCCGCCGACGACTTCGATGGCAGTGGCCTTCCTGCGCACTTGGATGTCGATCCCCAGGAGCTGGCAATTGTGGTTTCCGAGTGGTTTTTGTTGGCTTCCGAACCGCGTTGACAGGCATTGTGAACCTGTTCCACTCGTCTGCAACCGTGTCATGACCATCCCAGCCATGCTCTTTGCTGTACGAGTTCATGTATCCAGACAGACTAGCAGCGAGCAAGGTCATGCCACCAACTATCCTTCAATTTATGTTGAAGGTCGTGCTTATAGGCTTATAGGCTTGGAGTATAGGACAGAATGGGTGTTGGGCAGTCAATCATGACAACGCGCACGACACTCAAGGGTACCTTTTGACCACGAGTCTGCCCTTCGAGACGCCAGGAGCTTTTCCTGGGACCCAACGACAAGGCCTGAGACATGATTTGCCCATTTTTTCGGAGTATTCCGGCATGTTTCCACCTTAGCAGCCGCCTGAAGGGTCCTTCCTGAAGAGGTTTGGGATTTGCGCAGTGTTTCAAGCGTGGCAGCCTTCAACAGCATCCATTCAAATTCGAGGCGACATTGCATGATCCCCTCAACAATCGAATCTTGTCTACCAATATGTATGTGCGTAAACAGAGAGACCACGACAAAGACCGTAAGACAGACTTACAGAGGTGCTGCCTGGCGGTGATGGTGACAACCTGGGTGATGTTGGCTTCCTGCCCGCATCGATGCGACTGAGAGTTCACTTTCTCAGATCACACTCTAAGAGCAGCTTCGGGGACTGCGGGGACTGCAGTCAGAGGCGGTTCTTGCGAGAGGCAGGTCCTCCTCCGCTCCCGTCCGTGGCCCATGCGACGTAGCGAGTCCACAGAACGTTTGTTCGATTTTTCGTCAACCAGTCGAATCGATTGAGACTCTGAGAAACCAAAGCAGCATTGTGTTCGTCTTCTTTCTGTTGTAGGTCATCAGAAGATCGAATGCCCATTCAAAGGCTCGTGGTGTATTACTACGACGGTTTCTTTTGACTGCACAGCAGGCCTATAGCACATATCCCAGACGGAACTCATGAGGCATTGTTTTGGGTCCTTTGCGCCGATATGGTGTTTACCGTTTGCCCATGTTTATCAAGAGGTATGGAAGATGTGGCCGGCTCCTTCATGGACGGCGGATTGGATTTCGAGCTAGCAGAGAAGCCTACCTCTGCCGAAAGCATTGACATTGTCGCAAGCCTGCAATTAGTTGGGAGTTCAGGGTATAGGCATGTGCTAGACTAGGAGTGCTTCAACATTAAAGGCAATCTAGTCGCAATTCATGTTTTCAGTCTCGTGTGGCGTCTGTAGTTGTGCATGAGGCCTGAAAAGGTTCCGTGGTGTAGACCTCACCCGCTTCGGGTCGAACTCTGGCTTGCCTGGTGGAACGCCGAGGCCTACAGTCGAAACTCCAAGTTCGTCGATGCCACCCGTCAGAGAGTCAAAGGGTTCAAGATGTTCAGCACAGCTAGCCCAGCTTTGCGATATCTCGTGGCTTGGGTGAGGATGAGGCAGGATCCCACGGTTTGGTTGCATATACCTAGATGTGGAGCAACTGTGTAGGCAACGTTGAAGGGCATCTTTCAATATGACCAGCCCAAACATGCGGATGGGCAGCGGTAGTTGCAGCACGCCAGGCACACAAGATAAACAGTTTTTGTTTCTTGGTGGGTGGCCAATGAAGTGAGGAAACAGAAAGTACATAAAGTGGGCAGTAACGAGAAACATCACATTCCAAAGAGGCACCGGCATGCGAAATGAAACAGAAGCACGTATTGCGGAAGCTGTCTGTTCTTGCCTGGAGCTGCTGCATCCAAGTGTCGCGTTCATGCCAGTCTGACTCGTCATCTCTCCCAGCTATACCGGCTATACCGGTGTTTGAGAAGGTGAAGCTGGTCAAGAAGCATCTTTGGGGCTGCCTGGAAAAGGAGCGGTTGGAGTGTAGGACCCTAGAAATTGTGGAAATGCTGCTCCAGTCAACGGGTGCTGAGTTTGGTTGCCATGCGTCCTTGTTACACGCCTACAGCAGGTTGCAACAGGTTAGGTTCTGTTGCGTTGATGGCTGTAGCTGAAGACTGTTGTCGTGTCGACCTTGCGGCATGGTAAATGCCTGCGAAATCCGACTGCCGAGCGCAAACTGCGGCAGATGGCTTCCATCGGCTCTGTGATCCCAGGGCAGAGTGTGCAAGTGTTCAGGGGAATCTAGATCCGCATGCGCGTAGTCGCAAGTGCAAGCCCTTGCTCGCAGGACATATGCGGGCTGAAGAAGGGAAAGACGGATGCCGAACGCCTGGCTAACGACAGCTTTCAGGACCTTATCTCCCGAACGGTCCAGCGGCAAGCATGAGACTTTGGGCCTGCGTACCGCTTCCCTCCCTCCTGGACTGGAACTTTCTAACGCTGGAGAAGTGTGAAGATACATGCGCTCCAGCACTGCCATGTGCATGCACCAGCCTCGAAACGTTAAACTAAGTTGCTGGCTTATCAGCGCCTGTAAATGTAAAAAGCCTCCAAGAGCCAAGCGCGTTCCCCGGACTTGGCATTGGCGATGATGCTTGCATGGTAAAGCGATAAGCTATCAAAGACGATAAGCCAGTCATAGCGGGGTTTTTGCACAAGCCCAACTGGTTACCTTTAGGACTACATTAAGTGAGATAAGATGCCTGCACACGCATACATATTATACATATATATATATATATATTTACACATGTGCTTCCCCCCCTCCAAAACCGGCGCCAGAAGCCGAATCGGAAATATCGGTAATTACTTAGAACTGTGCTCCCTTCTCAGTTCCGTGCATTTTTGGGCGCTTCCAAGGTTTCCACCTTCAAAAATCACATTCCCGCCGCAGTCCCGCACAAGTTCAATAAGCTGTATAAGATATCAAACAGCACCAGTGCAAACAACACTCCAGGAACCTGGCAGGCCTAACTGTTTTGGTTGACCCGACTTGAAACGCTTACTAGTATTCGTGAGTTTTGCAAACAGCCCCCGCAATCTCAGGCTCTATGAGAGTCGTCTCTCCTCGTATACATGCTACGGCCTGGTTTCCTTCTAACCTGAAGATCCCCGCGACATCGTAGGCCAACATGCACGCATACAGACGCGACCACCTTGAAGAACCTTGAGTACCCGGCGAATATTCAAGACGTCAACAATCACTGGAGTTCAAGAAGTAAGGCTGAAATGGAGGTAGGACGTGTCTATAATGCACGATAAGCACAAGAGTTTACTGATGTAGTAAAGCGTACTAATCCGTTACCGCAGCTTCAGAATAACTTCAGTATACAGCAGATATTCAAGACGTCAACAGTTCTCGGATTTCAACCAGTACAGCTTAAGGGGAGGTAGGGCATGTATACACATTATTAATGCAAGAGTCTGTTGACATTTTCAAGGATACCAATCCGGTACCGCAGCTTCAGAATAACCATGTAAAAATTAGCAACGTTACTCAATGTGAAATGCAGTGGGGCCGTCCCTACATGGAACGTGGTTCTGAAGGTCATATTAAGCGGGCAGACCTGTATGGAGTAGAGGTCCAAGTATCGCGGGCTTGTGAATATTTTACGAGGTGAATTGAGACGTCTAACCCGATGGCGAAGACCACAACAGCCGGCAGATACGCGCTGTGTGGAGCAGATGAGAACTTAGCGAGGCTAGAGGAAGGTGAAACATGTATGTATCATTTCCAACTTAATCGAGCGCGCAAAATGCGCGGATATCTAACTAGTTATAGTAGGGATATTGATACCATGACATGACATTATTGCATGCATGCATGTACATACGCACGTACATACACACACACACACACGCACACACTCACATACAGCACCACCCATGCACACACAACACCCACCCTCCCGCGCACTACACACACACACACAAACAAACAAACAAACAAACAAACAAACAAACAAACAAACAAACAAGCACACACACACACACGCACGCACACACACACACACCCCCACCCCTGCCCACCCACACCCCTAAACCCTAAACCCACGCACACCCGCGTCCGCACCCGCACCCGCACGCGAACCCCCACGCACACCCACACCCGCACCCCGCCCCCCAACACTCACACACACACACACACACACGCGACCACCATACACACACATACTCACTTACTTTAAATATTTGCACACACACACACAGAGACACACGCGCACACACACACACACCCACACCCACACCCACACCCACACCCACACCCAGACCCACACCCAAACGCACACGCGCACACTTGCAGAGCCGCACACCCACATGCACCCGCACACACATACGACACACACACACACACTTACACTTCCATGCACACCCACATTGGCACCACCCACACCACGCCCGCGCACCACCCAGACTACCCACACCACACCCACCCCACACACATCCCACACCCACACCCACCACCCCATGGAACCCCCTGCTTTCCCCCCCGGCTCGCACTCCCGCCCCATGGCTGCCGGCCCGCGCGCATGCGCGCGCATACTTGCACAAGTCCGTATATGGTTCGATGCCCAAGTTATTTCCGGCATAAGCTGGGCAACGAAGGTCAGCGCCATGCCGAGAGATGAATGCGAGAATCTCAGTGCCGCTGTCTGCTTCATCTGCGCCCTGCACCTCTGCAATGAGAAGTGCCGCGGCCTGTGTTTATAGTTCTCATGCCTAGAATTGTAGAACATGTTTTTTTCTGATTATCCCTGCAATGGCAGCAAATATTTGGAAAACTTGCCCATGGTCATTGTCGACTTGAAAACGCGTGGGAGTACGATTCCGTGTGATAACAGCATGAGTTCCTTACGACAGCAGGAGAGGGGATTTGTTGTTCGCGTGTTGGACTTCTTGTTATTGGTGTATCTCTGTGTATGTAGATACGTCCGTGCATGTACACGCACACACACACAGAGACATACATACGTATATATATATATATATACATATATATATATATACATATACACACACACATGTTGATGTATAGTGATGTTTCATGTTTACATTCATCAGTATTATATGTATTATACTTGTCTATGTATGTGTGTATATATACATATATGAACATACACATGTGTGTGTGTGTGTGTGTGCATGTATATGTACAATGTATGTTTGTGCATATATGGACATACACGTATACCTATATATTTCATACTGTATACACACATATAATATAAGTATGTATGCATGCATGCATGTATATGTGT